CATCATCCCCCCTTCGGATGCCACCTTGTCATTGACAGGGGGCTTAACTGCTTCTGTGCTGGTGGTAGTGTAAACTACCAGCAGGTTCAACCAAGCCAGAGTGGTCTCAACTGAGAAGTAGAACTAAGTGCACCCAACCCATTTAAATATGGGGAAACAAACTCTAAAGAAGTCTATACTGGCTCGGTTGTTGCCCAAGATAATAAGGACCGCGGCGGGTGCTTCTCCTGGGCACCCGTTGAAAAGTGGGCTACAGGAACCAGGACCCACTGCTGAGCAACCAGGGTGTGGGTCGGTAGGGCAACTGGAAGTAAAACAACTACAGAAGCAGCAGAAATTTTCTTGAAAATACGTTTTTATTATGCTTACACCAAAAAAGATACATACAAAAAACAGGGAGAATAAAAAGATAAAGTTTTACATAGAAAGTGGGAGAACATTTGGTTTCCAAGAAAATAGGGAAAAAAGATAGAGAAATTTTCAATGCCACAGAACCAAACTGTCATGAACTGCTATTATAGATCAGAACCACAAAAACATGGATACCAAAAACAGAAGTACCTGCTATGGAAACTTGAATATCCAGATTCAACTGTAACTGAACAGAGGCTTGCTGACCAGTGGAGATACATTTCCAGGAAAAAGGTGCTCAGTGAAGTCGAACTTGAAGAAATAAAAAGCAACTGTGAAACAGAAGAACAAACAACTGTGGAGACAGCTGCAGAAGATCGAATGACTTCTGAGTCCACTGAACATATGGAGCCAGAGAAAACGCAGGATTTTTTTCAAGATGATGAGCATGAAGAGCCTGTGACCATTGCTTATACTACACCTGGCACATTGACCACAAAGCAACAAGAACTTAAAGAAAAAATTTTGACCCATGCTGCATTGAAGGAAGAAAAACAAAGACTGCCAACATTGAAGACAGTGCCAAGAAAACATCTGGCACCTCTAATGAATGATGTGAATGCTGCACTTGCAACTATTGAGATAGCAACAATGGAAGAAACTAACTAGCTTGCACACAGCACAGCAGTGATTGTAACACAAGAACTGGGAATACAACAACTGAAACCCACAAGAAAAATGATTGAAAAACCAAAATGGAAAATAAGGTTGAATTTAAAAATCAAGAGCCTACGATCAGATTCAAACAATCTAAAGAACATGAAGGAGCAAAAACGGAAGAATGTCAAAATAAAGAATAACCTGATTACAAAATATTGGCTGAACATAAGAAAAATTGAAGAAGCTCTTGAAATTGTGAAACAACAAATCACGGCAACAGCCAGAAAAATTGAGCAATATGAAGCTAGAGTCATCCAATACAAACAAAATCAACTCTTCCAATCTGATCAGAGGCGGTTCTACCAGAATCTGAATCAGCAGGTGGCTGTGAAAAATGAAAAACTAGGGGAAAAAACAGCTACAAATGCATTCTGGAAAGATCTGTGAGGAACAGAAAAAAGGTTACAACAAAAAAGCTGAGTGGATAAAAGACTTTGAAAACAATTTTTCAGGGAACAAAATGAGAAACTTGGAAATAATAACAGAAATGTTCACTGAAAGAGTGAAGAAAGTCAAGAATTGGACATAATCTGGCAATTATCAACTGCACGGGTTTTGGCTTAAATATCTGGTTAGCCTGCACTCAAAAATGCCCAAACAATTCAATGAGATGCTGCAAACATCAGTAAATGGACAACAACTGGGAAGACATACTTGATACAGAAAGATCCAGCAAAAGGGATAATACCAGGAAACTACAGGGCAATAACATGTCTACCTACAATGTTTAAACTGCTGACAGGCATAATCAAATCCAGGATTACTTGGAGGAAAATAATAACTTGCCTCTGGTGTTGCTGCAAGAAGGTCCTCCATTGTGCATGTGGCAGGGCCCAGATTGCATTGCAGTAAGTGGTTTGTGGTTTGCTCTTCTCCACATTCGCATGTAGTTGATACCACTTTGTAGCCCCATTGTGGCTGTGAAAACTGAGTTGTTCATGTGCAACGAAAGCTATGGAACTGTTAACATCAAGTTATGCTAACGGGATTTTGAATTGCAGCCTGTTTGCCTCCTGCCATGGAAGAGAGAGAAGTGTGGCTCTTACAGTAAACTCATGTTCCAGTATGGGCATGTTTTGGTTTTGTAGTGCACCACCTTCACAGGGACATGGTCCCAGTAGGACAGCCACTCTCAACTCCTGGAAGGAACTGCCAGCAGGCAAGAGAAGGAATATTGAAATCTTACTTCATCAGTTAAGGCCTGATGAATCATGTTTGGGCATGGGCCAGCCAAGAAGGCATATGCACCAAGTAGCTTCCACAATATTTTACTCAGAAAATATCAGGAGGAATTTCTGCAGGGCATTTAGATGTGTAGTCTCCATCAAAGGTCTACATTAGACAGTACCGTTTTCCTCTATACATAGTTTATTTCATAGATTCATATATTTGGAAGGGACTACAAGGGCCATCCAGATCACCCCTCCTTTTTTGCAGTAATATACAAAGCATCCCCAACAGATGGCCATCAAACCTCTGTTTAAAACCCTCCAGAGAAGGAGATTCCACCACACTCTGTGGCAGAGTTCCACTTCCGAACAGATCTTACAATCAGGAAATTCTTCCTAACGTTTAGGTGGAATTTTCTTTTTCTTGCAATTGGAATCCATTGCTCAGTGTCTTAGTCTCCAGGACAGCAGAAAACAAGCTTGGCCCCTCCTCAGTGTGACATCCTTTCAAATAGTTAAACATGGCTATCGTGGCCCCTGAATCTTATTTTCTCTAACCTAAACATACCCAGCCCCCTCAGGAATTCCTTATAGTGCTTGGCTTCAAAATCTTTGTTCATTTTGGTCACTTTTTCCTGGACACATTTAGCTTGCCAATATCATTCCTGAACTGCGGTCCACAGAACTGGACCCATAATGCACCAGGTCACAGAGCAATTTATTTTTGTCGTTGAAAGGGATGGACTACAACTTTGGGACTAATCCTTCTCATGACCCTCTTGGCCAATTTATAGGTCCTGATGGGCTTCTCTAACAATGATTGATAAACATTATAGAGAATGCCAAAACTGAGAAAGCATTATTGCATTGGATATATATAAAGCTTTTGACTCGGTGGGTTGGACAGTGTTGAATCCCTGATAAAGGAATACAGTTTTGGAGAGGGTTTCCAACATATAATAGAACAAATCTACTCAGAAAACAGGGCTAAAGTCATAATTAACAATTAGAGTACTGAACCTTTTAGTATTAAGCAAGGAGTAAAGCAGGGTTGCCCTCTTTCTCCGGTACTATTTATATTAGTTATGGAATTATTAGCCTCGCTAATCAGGAAAAATAAGGAGATAAAAGGAATAGGTGTGGACAACAAAATCAAAATTAGCTTATTTGCGGACAATACGCTTTTGGCAGTCAGAAATCTGGATAGGGCACTAGATTGGATAAATCTACATTTAAAGCGGTTTGGAAAAATAACAGGTTTAATAATTATTTGGAAGAAAATTGGTAATGACAATAAACCTGAAGGACAACGAGAAAATAATGGACCAATTTAGGGTTAAGATTAGAAGCAGTATTAAGTACTTGGGAGGCACAATACCCGTTAATTACTCAGAGTTAAAAAATAAATTTTGAAAGATTATTCAAGTAAATCCAAGAAAGACTACTGGAATATAAAAACTTTTTGAAAGTGAAAAATATTTCCTCGGTGTGTGTTGAAGTCTTCTTTGGAGGTCTGTTATCTGTCAGGTGTGCTTTGATTGTGTGTTCCCACATGGCAGATTAGATGGTCCAATTTTATGACTCAATAATTGCCAATATTTTGCATTGTTTACTTAGTTACAAATGTTTATATAAGTATTGTTTCTTGGCCCAGACCTCCAAGCCCACCTTAACAATCAGTAGCAACATCAAATGCAAGAAGTCACATCAGCTGGTGAATGGAGTGTAAGGAGGACCTTTCAAGCCCCCAAGTGGGCTGTAATACTCAGAAGCAAGACCACCATCACAGTTCCCCATGGGAGATTTGTTCACTGATGGGGGGGGGGGGCTGGAAATACCCTCCTCCTTGCAGCTGGAGAGATTCCTTCACTCAATGTAACTACTGACTATAGTGGTGTATTTGGGAAGAGAGCATAAACAATCATGGAAATAATGCCACAATAGCACCACACACTGAATTTAGAGCAGTTGTAGATAATTAAGTCTAATTAATAATTAATCTGTCAACGTATATTTTTATCAGTTCTATATAAACCTTGGACAGTGCGAAGTCCTTCCTGCCCAATTACTTATCAATCCTCATTAAGGAGGCTGAGCTCCTGACGTGAAGGTTGGCGGTTTGAATCCGTGAGGCAGGGTGAGCTCCCATCTGTCAGCTCCAGCTTCCCATTCGGGGACATGAGAGAAGCCTCCCACAGGATGGTAACACATCCGGGCATCCCCTGTGCAACATCTCTGCAGAGGGTCAATTCTCCCACACCAGAAGCTACTTGCATTTTCTCAAGTAGATCAAATCCTGAACCCCAAATCACAGACCAACAACTCAAGCTTTTGTTTTAAAAAAGTACTTTATGTATATTATCTAAATATTATAAATAACAGTCAAATATAGCACCAATGAAACAGCTTTTAGGTGGATAATATAGCAGGAACTGCTCCAATATAGCTGTTTAAAACATAGAAAAACATGTTTCCATTTTTTAAAAACATTAAATTAAATGTCCACTTGTTTCGGACATCTTCGAGTGATATTTATGTATTTATAAATTACAGAGTAGAAAACATAAATATTATGGGAATGTGCATTAAATATGGAAGATTAGCATAATAATAATGATAATAATAATAATATTAATAAGGCATTTAAATACAATATTGGTGTTCCATCCGCAAAGCTCCAAAGAGAATGTATGTATGTATGTATGTATGTGTATATATATATATATATATATATATATATATATACATACACACACACACTCACATATATACATACATGCATAAACAAACACAATACACATAAATGCATTGCTTTTTCAGTTTGGGTGAAGTTCTATCCATTAAGAACTTGTCATGGAAGCATTTCACAGTCCATGAGAAGAATCAAGCAATATCAACTTCTCATTCCCTTTCCAGTCTACTTCTTTTGTTTTGGAAACAATAAGGTTTAAAAAAAAGTTTGGCTTATTTTTCTAGTCCTTATGCACCACATATTATATGGGCACTAGGATGTTGATGCAACCCTGGTTAAGACAACCAGTCAAAATGTCCTTTCCTAGAGGTATCCCCTGAAGGATGCCCTTGGAGTAGGCCAGGCCCTGAGGCATGGCTCTCTGCCATCTTCTCTCCATCAGAGATCTTTCATGCAGATTCCAAAGGACGCCGAGCATCTGCTTCACTCCTGCCTACTTGGCATTTTCCACTCAGGCCAGTGCTTTGATGAGAAGTCCAAATCAATGCGTTCCGCTTCATGCCATTCTTATCGGCTCAGAAACTGCAGGTTAATCTCCTTCTCGGGCACCAGAAGTGTCCGTGTCATGGGTCTGACTATTTGGCCATCTTGTTCGGGCTTCACTTCAAAATGCATCAGGATCTTTAGTTGGGAAAAAGAAAGGAAATTCCTGTTAGCATACATTGAGACCATGCTTCTTTTTACAAAAAAAGGAAGGACACAGAGCAATTGAGGGAAGGACGAGCAGACTATGGAAGAGTTCTGGATCACATCTTTCAAACTCCCTTATACCTTGTGGGAATCTTGTGGCCTAAGCTCCAGAACTCTACCTTCCAAATTATCTTCAACATTCATGCTAAATCCCAGAGAAAATTTAATATGCCACTGATATTTGAAATCTCAGTAATCACTGGTTAAGTTCATGAAGTGGAAGGGATTTTGCAGTCATTGGGTGGGTCGGTTTGCTCAACTTTAACCATGCTGCTTCTAAAGTAGGAATGCAATGGTGCATTCATGGAATCACAGGGCTGGAAGCTGTACTGAATGAACCCTTAGTTTGCCAGAGCCTTGGAAAAGCTGCCAGTTTGGACTGCAAACTCCCAGAGTGCCCACCAGCTAGCCTCGCCAAGCAAGGCATTTCTCACTGGTCAAGATGCTCTGTCCACCTCATCTCAGTTTGCTCAAATGAATTGGCCTCTAAGGTAATGAATTATAATGCTTTCGCTATCAATACTAGTAGAAAGAGCTGGATTTCTGAGCAGACACTCACCCTAGCCAGAGCAAGATAGACTTCCAGCTCTGCAATACGCCGGCCGATGCAGCTGCGCTTCCCAAAGCCAAAGGGGATGGAAGCATATGGGTGATGTGCACCATCCTTGTGCAGCCACCGATCGGGCTGGAAGGAGTTAGGGTTGGAGAAATACTTTTCATCGCGTGAGGTAGCATAATGGCAGAGGGTGATCAGGGTCTAAGAGGAGCAAGAAAAGAAATACATCATGAGAAATGAACCCCAGAAACCCACATTCATAATGTGAATGCAGTCCAGAGTATGCATAAGAGTTCCACAAAAACCAGCACTGAAGAAGCTCCCATCTCAAAACAAGCTTCCACAACCCAGTGCTCTACAAGCGTTTGGACTCTAGCCTCAACAGCTAACATGTATACCAGGTTAAAGGAAGCCATGATGGATTTATGCCCTTAGTTTGGCATTTTCTCCTATATAGGCACTGTTCCATTATCATCACTACTTTTGGAGCTGTGGTGGCACAATAGGTTAATCACTTGTGCCAGCTGAACTGAAGACTTGAAGATCAGTGGTCCAAATCCACAAGTCAGGGTGAGCTCCCATCTGTCAGCCCCAGCTTCCCATGTGAGGACATGAGAGAAGCCTCCCACAGGATGGTAGCACATCCGGGCATCCCCTGGGCAACGTCCTTGCAGACGGCCAATTCTCTCACACCAGAAGCAACTTACAATATATTCTCATTTTGCTTCTGACACAATTAAAAAACACTACAATTCCATTTCAAATGCCATGGCAACATCTTCTAGAATCCTGAAATTGGCAGCGGAGGAAGGGGTCTTTAGCATCCCCATGCATAGAGCTCCTATAGTGTCTCTGAACAAACTGCAAGTCCCAGGATTTCACAGGATAGAACCATGGCAATCAAAAAGGAATAACAGCATTATAATTCTGTACTGCAAATGGTCCCCTTGCAGTATGTATCTCTCCTCTGCTAAAGCTCTCCATGCATCTTCCATTGAAAGCCAGCATAGAATCATAGAAGAATACAAAGAGTTCAATTCACTCTTGGTCAACCTGGATAAAGGATTCTGGGAGCTGTCGTGCAAACACTAGTGTTTCCAAACTCTGCCCTGTGCCCAAAATCAGTTTCTTGAGGCCTGCCTGGATATTGCAGCCCTATTTCCTGTGCCACTGCTACCCAACAATTTAAGCCTCATCCCCGTTTGCTTCATAACTATGCTCACCTTTTTAGGGATCAGGTAATCTCCCACTTGGATGTCCCGGTCTGAGATGACACGTGCATTTCCAGGTATCACTGGGTACAATCTGTGGGAGGAACCAGAAAAACAAAACAAAATAAATTTAAAGGAATCAGCAACCCATATGCTGCTGCATTTGGTCAGTGAGAAATGTTGATTGCAATACACAACAGTTTCAGACTAAGCCATCTAACTAAATGGTGACATTGTGATGCAGCTGCAGTCCAAAAGGGAACACATCTGCCTTTCTTTGCTTGGGTATATGAGTTTGAAACACAGAGTTGGCATCTCCAAGCATTAATTTTAATTTATTGAATAAATTACACTCCAATTGACCCATATCCCTACATAGCTCAGCATTAGAAACTGACCCATAACTTAAAGCCTTCAATGCTATCTTAAAGATTAAACTGGGTGAGCAATGCCAGGTAATGAGGGATTACAGCTCCCATCATGCCAAGCTACCATAAGTGAGAGTTGATGAGAGCTGCAATCCAACACCATCTAGAAAAGCCATGAATGGCCCATCCCTAGATAACAAGATTATCAGTATTGTGTCACAACCATTCTCAAAGATGAGGTGTGATGCATACCTATCATTTGACAATGTCAAATAAATCTGGAAAATTCATTGGCATCTCCCCAAGAAGGTGAATGGCAGTAGAGATATTGTGGCCAGGCTGCAGTAAAAAGCTGACCATGTAACACAGGCTCTGAATCTGAACCAAGGATTCAAATAGTTTTGGAATCCAGCTCCACTTGATCAAAAAGGCAGCTGTAATCCAAAAGGGTAACTTTCTCAAGCTCTGCCCTGAACTGTTGCCACCAACTTATTGTTCTAGTGAGCAGAGAAGTGATCACCTTATTATGCATCTCCTAATGGCATAGATAAGGAACATGCCTATGCTGCTGGAAGGTTAATACCTTTCCATTCACTCACCTCAGTGCCTCTTTGACCACCGCCTTCAGGAGGGGCATTTGTGCTACATCAGCTGCTGTTGGGATCAGGTTGTCCTTCATGACTGATGAAATTTCCTTGTGGAGGGCAGACTGGATCTGAGGGTGACGGGACAACTCATACAGGCTCCATGACAAGGTGCTTGAGATCTGTGGCAGGACAAACAGACAGGGCTAGATTAGTCATTAGGAGACATAGGCTAGGGAGTAGGGGCAACAGTCAAATGGGGTTGGGGTGCTTGAGGAACATAGATAGTTTCAGCAGGCTGAACCAAGTCATTCCTGTTTCAAGTGGCAGAGGAGCAAAGTCAACCACAATGGGCCCTTGGTAGCCGCTGGGCTTTGGTTCTAGACCAGTGGTTCTCAACCTGTGGATCCCCAGGTATTTTGGTCTACAACTCCCAGAAATCCCAGTTTGCTTACCAGTTGTTAGGATTTCTACAAGTTGAATGCCAAAACATCTGGGGACCCACAGGTTGAGAACCATTGTTCTAGGTCTTACTGTGGATACCAAAATCCATGGATGCTCAAGTTCTATGATATGCAATGGCATAGTAAAATAGTGTCCCTTATATAAAATAGCAAATTAAAGATTTGCTTTTTGGATTTTAAAAAAATATATCTTGTAGTAGCCATCCCCTGCCACGCATTGCTGTGGTCCAGTCTGTGTATGCGTGTTTTGTGTTTGTATAAGTGTGTGTATATATTTGTGTATATGTGTGTTTGCATATCTATATGTGGTTTTGTGCATGCATTGTAATGTAAATTTTGGTTTTTTTGGCTTTTTAAGTCCCCCCTGCTGTGTTTTTCAGTGTTTTTGTGCGTGATGGTCACTTGTTGGCCAGGTGTATTGTGTCCAAATTTGGTGTCAAATTGTCCAATGGTTTTTGAGTTATGTTAATCCCACAAACGAACATTACATTTTTATTTATATAGATTATTGGATGTTTGAATGCAAAATCTATGTATACAGAGGGCGGAGTGTAATGCTGAGTTTGGGTTCTGCCAATCATATTATGTAGGAGCAAGAGAAGAAACAGCCAAAGATTTAATATACAAGGACGGGTTGCCAAGGCAAGAGGAGTGCATTTGCCCTCAAGCATAGTAATAAACAATCTATAAAGGGAGGCGTGAGGTCTCTGAAAGATACTTTGTATGTCCACAAAGATACTCATTTCAGCCATGATTTATTTTTAAAATGCTTACCGTGTCCACACCAGCCAGCAGAAGTTCAGTCACATTTCCATAGATGGATTTCATAGACAGTTTCTCTTGGGCCAAGTAGTAAGTCAGATATTTTCCTTCTACTTTCTCCCCTCGTGCGATTTTTTCTGAAACCTCAGCCATCCGTTTGTCAATGTGGCCTTTCGCTGGAAAATAAATGGCCAAGTAATGAGTCCTCATTCCATGGGACAGCCAACTAAACCTAGTTTTTGTATGATTCCACCAATGTAGTAGAAAGGTAATTATAGAATTCTGCGAGAGGGAATACATTTTTCAGCCATGTGTATTTAGTAAATACACGAGAGCTACAAATGCTTAACCTGCAAATGTGGAGAGACAACTATACTTTGGAACTATTAATTTCAACCCCCCAAAAAGTTGTCAATTTAACCTGCAGCTTACTAATATCTAGAACATTAAGATGGGGAGGTGGTTAAAAAAAATCACAACCCACCACAGTTGCCAATGCTTGTTCTGCAACTAATGGAGGTGGCCTTTTTCACATTGGTTAGGTTCTGAGTTGAGTCTAAATACCCTACAGCACTTGATCCTGTCTAATCTTGGAAACTAAGCAGGATCAGCCATACTTAGTATTTGAATGGGAAACAAATACTAAATGCATAGGGATTATCATAAACTGGAAAGTAACTTGAAACCATACACACACACAATATACTCTAGTAATAACACTCACCAAATGCAAACATGTAATCCCAGGATTCACAGAACTTCTGCCAGGGCTTGGGGAAGACTTGGTGCAGGATCTTGGGCATAGCCATCGTGAGCAGAGTCATGACAAACATGGTGTTGATGGAGCTAATGAAGGTCTCCGTTTCCTTTGGGACTTGGGGTTCCAAGCAGCCAATGCGGGACTCAAACAGGACAGATGAGATGCCTAGGAGAGATACACATACAAATTAGCTACATGCTGCTGGTGTATGGTTATTTATTTCATGTCAAAAGCATTGCATAAATAAATAAATAAATATAAAACTGATAAAATAAAGGGAACACAAGCAGCTAAATAGTTTAAGAAAAAAATGAGCAACAGCAACTGCTTTAAACAGTTCTTCCTCTGTGCAAGAGGCACATTGTGGTATAAAATATACTTAAGGAGTGAGGTGACACACATCCTCTAGGGACTGAATGCAGTTACACTACAAAAGAAGTGAAACGATCCCTAGCGATGGGATAATCCCAATTTCAATTTAGTTATACATTAGGCATTGTAGAAAGGGAATTAGCATAGCTACAAATAAGTTACTTATTGTTTTCAAGCTGCAGGGATGCAACTTGAAAATAACTAATCAGAGTAGGAGTACTGCAGCCCTGCAGATATTGTTGGACTTCAACTCCCATCAGATCAACTTCATGCCAGTCAGAATTTTATAAACAGAGATATCTGAGGCCAAACACCACCAGTATGTGGTCAAGATGGCAATAGTTTGGAGAGCTTGGAGAGGCTGCAGCAGTTTGCTTTTGCCTGAGCCTTCTGGGAAGGGCAGGTCTCTGTCCTCTCCTCTCCCTTAAATTAATGAATAAAAACTCCTTTTACAGAGTCAGCAAAGCAAACTGAAAAGAAAGGTGAGAGTAGAAGAGAGAAACTAGGGGCCCTTCCACACAGCCCTATATCCCAGAATATCAAGGCAGAAAATCCCACATTATCTGAGTGTGGACTCAGATAACCCAGTTCAAAACAGATATTGTGGGGTTTTCTGCCTTGATATTCTGGGATATAGGGCTGTGTGGAAGGGCCCTTAAAGCAGATGAAAAAGTGGGATAATGAAAGATTAATTGGGGCTGTCACTGGAAGGCATGCTTCTTAACTTAACCAAGGGATGCTAGGTGCTACTATTCAGCCCCACCTTGGAGGCTCACACATTTCCCACCCCTGCCACAAATCAAGGTATTACCTTCTAATCCAAACTTGTAGAATTCATCAGCCACGTTCTTGACCACATGTTGGTTGTGGAGACTTCGCTGGTGCTGCAGCCGGCAAATCAGGTCGCTCACCACCTCGTTCAGCGTGCCAGTGTAGGACTCCACCTCCTTGGGCTTCAACATGTGCTTCCCCAGGATGCTGCGGATTTGCTGCCATTCCTCACCCTCCCTGTAAAGTGAAGAACGGCTTTTGTTAGTTGATGAGGCTGGAAGAGTTCCCATGTCCACATGTTCATATAACGAGGAGCAGCAGGACTATCCATCTTACAGCATTCTCCCCAGAGTCTATGCATTTCCCTACTCTATTGGAAAGCATCATTCTCTATAATGAATAAACAATCTTCCAGGGCACTCGGAAAGAACTGGATTCTGTTTAGAGAGAGAAAGCGCCTGTGAAATGTATCGTTTGCTTTGTCTTTCCCGTTAGTCATATCCGGTGTCTAGATTGCGGAAGCATCGGCTCAGCTGATGAGAAACCTCCTACTGAGAGTCCCTGAGTCATAAACAGCTTTATAGGATTTCTCACTTCTCCAACTTGGAGTTTTGCGCAAGTTCAGGTCAGATCCTACTTTTTCAGGTGACTCATTTCCAGGAAACAAGCGTGAGTGAGGGGAGCACTTGGAAACCACAACAAACCACGTTGGGAAAGTTTGGGGGATTCTTCCTCCTATGCATCTCCTTAACCCCCACGTTCTGCTCTTGTGTCACATAGGAGACCTGTTCTACTTCCAAAGTAGAGAGTCCACAAATCCAGAACCCTTGATACTCCAGACCACGTGTGTGTGCCTTCAAGTCACCTGTAAACTTTTGAGCCCTGAATTTGAAAGGATTTTCTTAGGCAAGAAATACTCAGAGGTGTTTTGCCAGTTCTTTATTCTGCAATATAGCTTACAACACCAGGTATCCATTCATGGTCTTCCATCCAAATACTAACTAGAACTGACCCTGCTTACCTTCTAAGACTCATTGGATCTGGTACCTTTAGGGTATTTAGGCCTACTCACAAGTCCCAACTGCATACCGGCCACCTCCATATTTTATAAAGTAGACATTCCTCCCAAAATATTAGACTACAACCCTTGTTACCTCCAGCCAACACTTCTGGAAGAAAGCCATTGTCAAAAAAAGCATAAACTTCCCCATTTTGCTCTGGAGAGAACCAAAAATAGCACAGGCAGGGCAGGAAATGGTTGCCAACTGCTGTGCGTGTGGAGGTGGTAGGGATGGATTATGCAACTGCCAGTAGTTTTCTGGACGATGATACACATTTTCATGTCAGAGGAACTGACAACAATTTTGAGCCCCACGTGGTGTTTTGTTTCTCTGTGGTGCAGCCCCCATCCACCAAAGTACCACAGTCTACAGCAGAGGCGAGAATGGTGTGGTCCTCCAGATGTTGTTGAGGTGAGACTCCCAAGATTCCTCACTATTACTATTCTGGTCACAGCTGAGGGGAAATACAGTCCAGCAACATTTGGAAGGCTGCACAAATCCCATCCATATTACAGAACAGTTCACCTACTTGGGAGAAACTGTCAAGGGAGTATCATTCCTTACATGACCACCATGTTTCATGCATAGCTGTATCTGAAGATGGCTGGGAATGGTTGGACTGCATCTCCCGACAGCCTTATGCAGCATGGCAGAAATAAAGACTATTGGGATTTGCAATTTAACAACCTCTGAAGGGTCACCACATTCTCCTCTCCGATCAGAGGAGGTTGTTTCATGGTCAAGGGGAACACATAGCTTGGAATACAGGTTTCCAAGTACTTATTTTCCCTTAAAGTGCCTAATCTTAAAGTGGTTTGGAAAACTTTACTAATTGTACAAGAAGATACAGGGGGAAAATTACATTTTTGATGGGTGATTTTGGACTACAAGATTCCTGCCATATACCATGAGACCTCCCAGCAGCCTGCTGTGTGTGAACAACAACAACAACAACAACAACAAAAAGCTACAAGATACTTACGCAGTGAGCAGTCCATAGGCATGGCCCCGGCAAATCCTGTAATCTTTCCAGGAGGAAAGGTCGGAGCGGATGGGGTGCTTGCCTTCCTGCCTCAGCACCTGCTCGATCAGGTTTGGATCTGCAACATGGACAGTAAGGATGGGCCCAAAGCTGGCCTTCCACATTGGACCGTACTTGGCTTTGCCTTCAATCTGAAAGAGAAACAGAGTTGTTAAGATTTAACAGAACTCTCACATAGATTTCCAGTCTTTTCGTTCATCATGAAGCAAATATAGGATCCCACTTACAAGATTCCTTCTGATCCTAAAGCTACAAACATTTTCAATCAAACAATGAGATGTTATAAAGTATGCTGGCATAGTTCTGATGATGAGCCTTTAGACTTTTTGCCAGGACATAGGCAACTTTGGACTCTCTTGATATTTTAAACTGAAAATCCCATCAACCCCAGCTGATTGTGAGAGATTATGGCACTGAAGCCCCTGGCAGCATAGTGGGTTAAACTGCTGAGCGGCTGAACTTGCTGACCAAAAGGTCAGCAGTTTGAATCCAGGGAGCAGGGTGAGCTCCCACTGTTAGCCCCAGCTTCTAGCAACCTAGCAGTTCGAAAACATGCAAATGTGAGTAGATCAATAGGTACCGCTTCTGTGGGAAGGTAACGGTGCTCCATGAAGTCATGCTGGCCACATGACCTTGAAGGTGTTGACGGATAACGCCGGCTCTTCAGCTTAGAAATAGAGATGAGCACTAACCCCCAGTCGGACACGACTGGACTTAATGTCAGGGGAAAATAACTGGAAGATACTAGGCTAGCTAGCTCTGGTTTAAGTAGATCCATTCAAGGGATGATGCCAAGTAAAGGCAGTTTTCCCAGGTGTTCCATTTTCATGCAGGAGAAAACTATGCTTCCTCAATTTCTATCTCTCATAGACTTTGGAAATTCAAAGAAAGGAGAGGGAAAAAGAGGCATCCGCTGTGCATGTTGAATACAAAACCACACGAGTGCATCACAGCACCTCTGAGACCACATGCCACTGACTAAGGGGATATTGCAGTCACACTAAAATGAAAGAATCCTCACCAGGGTTTACTATCCTAAGACAGTGTTGAAATGGCCATCACTCAGAAAGTGGCTTCCTGTGTGGAACACTATATATAGTTGTAATGCACCATATGCATATTTCAAGCCCACTGATTCATAGAAATAATTAAACAGATGTTCAATTTTTCCACTTATGGCAATCACACTTTAAAATGCTTAACTTTTGCTAGATTAGGTGGGAAGGTAACAGTGCTCCATAAAGTCATGCTGGCCACATGACCTCGGAGGTGTCTACGGACAACGCCGGCTCTTTGACTTAAAAATGGAGATGAGCACCAACCCCCAGAGTTGGACATGACAGGACTTAAAGTCAGGAGAAAACATTTACCTTTGCTAGATTGTGCAGCACACATTTCTGCTGCTGTTGCTTGTCTTTACACTGCTTCCAACTTATGGAGACCCCAAGGAAAACCTATTTTGAGTTTTCTTGGCAAGACTTGTTAAGAGGGAGTTTGCTTTTGCCCTCCTTTGAGGCTGAATGTGCCTTGCCGAAGGTCACCCATTGGGTTTCCATGGTTGAACAGATATTTGTATTGCCTGGGGAAAAGCCAACTTTTAGACTTGTGGGTGCTTATATAAACATGATAGACATCATGCTGATATATTTTGAAAAAGATTTGTGACAATAAACCAGTGGCAGATCATGGACTGAACAGCAAAATACTAGTGGATAACTCTGCCTGTGAACATCCAGTACAATCAGCAACAATATAATGTAAACTATGTGCCACCAATTGGTGTGGTGGGAAGAATAGTTTGAATTTGTTAACCTATATAAAGTTGTTTGAGTGACACAATCACCACAAAACTGGGACCTTTTCTGGAATATAAGAGATTTCTTTTGCAAGAATGCCACGTCATAGAAATGACTGTGAGAAATCTTATTTTGTCATCATTTACAAATGATGAACATAACTCTAGGGCATGTCAAGAAACACCAAACCCATCTCTTGGCACAAAGATACCATATTCATTGTCTGAATGCTAAAGACGTTTAGGGATAGTGAGGTGAGTGAATCACTGCCTACGTAGAGTTTGGGAAAAGCAGGTTTCAGACAACCGCACAATCATATCCGATACCAGCACAACAGAAGGGTTTTTTTGGCTGAGTTTTACTGCGGCAAAAAAGCTTTATTTTATGAAGCGTTTGCATATGCAAATTATGCTTCGCAAGCACTGTCATGCCCATCCTTGGAACGTGATGACGTCTAGTTCAGCCTTCTCTAATTTGCCGCTTTTGGGGATATCTGGCACTGTAGTTCAACACACCTGAAGGTGTGGAAGGCTAGTTGGATCAAAGTTCATCACCTTTAATCCTCACTGACTTAAAAGTGATGCACTTTAAGTGCCCATATTAATTTGTACTTGGAGTTACCAAGACTTAAAGTTGCAAACGGAGGTATCTTTATTGAAAGGCTAGCCTCTTTCACACACAGGAACATACATCTGAGCAAACACAGAAAGGATTTTTATTGGATCATGTCCAGTGCCACCCCCAGTCTCCTACTGTTACTGTTAAACAACTATGGTTGAAAGTTGTGTACACTAAATAAAGTTATTTTATTTGTTCATACCTGCAGCAGGATTTGAACACTGCTCCTTTCTAACTGTATTCATAGAAATGGTACATTGATTCTCAAATAACTAGGTGGGAAGATGAAAAAGTCAAATACTTCCTTTGGCTTCAATTAGAATCTGTTCCGGTTAAACACTATGTTTGACTCAAAGCAATTTCCAACTAAGTAGCTTCTGCTGAAATTTCAGAAGATAAATCCTGGCAATTACGCTTCTCACAATATATCTAGGTCTTTATCCTTCGAAGTTTAGCTATAGTCAGAATTTAATCTTTTAAAAGGTAAAGGTTTTTTCTTGACATTAAGTCCATTTGTGTCCGACTCTGGGTGTGTGTGTGTGTGCTTATCTCCGTTTCTAAGCCAAAGAGCCAGTGTTGTCCATAGATGCCTCCAAGGTCATGTGGCCAGCATGACTGCATGAAGTGCCGTTACCTTCCAGACCAAGCGGTACCTATCAATCTACTCACATTTGCATGTTTTAGAACTGCTAGGTTGGCAGAAGCTGGGGCTAACAACGGGACCTCACCCCGCTCCCCAGATTCGAACCGCCAACTTTTCAGTTAGCAAATTCAGCAGCCCAGCAGTTTAGCCCACTGCACCACTGGGGAGCTCCTATTTAATCTTTAGGGGAAATAATAACATGAAAGTTTTAGGTACTTTTACAAAAAATGATAGCAAAAAAGTTTATATAGTCCTAAAGGTGACACTATAAACTGTGCAATAAATAACTATTAATGGCAATTAAAAATCAATTGTGCAAGAATCCATGTCTGTATTTCTTTCATTTTGTAAAAAAAATGCAAATAAAGATGCTAAAAACTTTTTCTTTAGACATGCTTTGAAAAAGGAAGTTTTTAAGGCTGGGCCAGAGGAGAGCTATGAAGTGTTTTAGGTATTGTTTTAATAGATTAGTTTTCATAGTCGCTTCTGGTGTGAGAGAACTGGCTGTCTGCAAGGATGTTGCCCAGGAGATGCCTGGATGTTTTTGACGTTTTACCATCCTTGAGGGTTTTTAGTGTTAGCTGCTTTGGGTTTCTTTTTGTAGAGCTAAATCAGGATAGAAATAAATACCAGTAGTAGAAGAAGAACCACACATTATCAGAGTGTGGACTCAGATAACCCAGTTCAAAGAAGATATTGTGGGATTTTATGTCTTGATGTTCTGGGATATAGGGCTGTGTGGAAGGGCCCTCAGTTTGGTCATCTTGTCTAAGGACCCTTCCACACAGCCATGTAACCCAGAACAACAAGACAGAAAATCCCACATTATCTGCTTTGAACTGGATTATATGGCAGTGTGGACTCAGATAACCCAGTTCAAAGCAGATATTGTGGGATTTTCTGCCTTGATGTATGGTGTGTGGAAGGGCCGTAAGACAAGATGACCAAACTCAGATTACAGCCCAAAACATGGATCTAGACACTGATGTGCAGTTCAGAAGTAAATCCAGTGTTCCCAGTTCCTAAGCAAGCCTATCTCGGATACAGATCCAGTTATTCCCAGCCTTGGTTCTTTCCCAGGTAGAAATGGGTAATAAAGCTCTGTTTAACTAGACCGAGTCTCTCCCACTCAAAAATACATGCCTGTTAAGAGTGGCACTTCTTAAAGGCATTTAGTTTTAACAAGCATTATGTGTTACAGCGCTCCCATTTATACCAATCCCTTGGAAGTACAAGCTTTAGGCACAAACACACAAATATGCCCCGTGTTTCAGGACACAGGTAATTTTTACTGCCAAGCAAAATAGCTTTCATGCAGCTCTGTAACTAGAGTTATATTAATTGGTGCTTCCGCCAAGGTTACAGAGAGCTGTGTTGACCAGCAAGCCAAGAATTAACACGCTTAGTCTGCATTATTTAAATAGCCTTTTACAAGCCTGGCTGGAGACAAGTGGTGTACAGGGGGAGTTTTAAGTACACCTGTGGGAAGAGCTTCCTACTTCCTTGCAAACTCATTGCAGGAAGCTTTTTAAACTGCTTAAACAAATGGCCGGCATGTCTCAAGGATATTATTATAATCATCATCATCATTATTTTGCCTCTATTTCCAATTCTTACAGTTTTTGGAATTCATTTTCCGGCACCCGGTTCTCACTGATTTTATATATTTACATAAATAGGTCAATAGAAAAGTATAGATAGATATATTTGTAAGCATCGAAGATTGGAAGTAAATGAAATCCTTCAGTGTTCCCGATAATACTCTCCTGGCATCTTTAATGTCATCGAAATTAGCTTTTTATTTCCTTCAAATTATCACCCAGTTTTACCTGTGATATGAATTAGTTTCACAGAACTCTTCCTGATAAAGGATTCAGAGAAACTGAAAAGCTTATCTAAGGGCCCTTCCAGACAAACTCTATATCCCAGAATCTGATCCCTGGTTTTCTGTTTATCCCAGATTATATGGCAGTGTGAACTCATATAATCCAGTTAAAAGCAGAAAACCTGGGATATGTATCCCAGGATTTGTCTGGAAGAACCATATTTCCATATCTATATCACCCTAGATCCCAGGATCTGATCCCAGATTATCTCTTTGAATTGGATTATATAAATCTCCACTGCCATTAAATCTGGGATAAGCAGATAATCTGGGATCAGATTCTTAGATATAGGGCCTAATTCCATAGCAATATAACCCTGTTCAAAGTACACATTGTAAAATCAAACTCTTTGGGGGGTTTTTGCGGTCAGGAGCGACATGTGAAACTGCAAGTTGCTTCTGGTGTGAGAGAATTGGCCGTCTGCAAGAATGTTGCCCAAGGCATGCTCGGATGTTTTACCATCTTGTGGGAGGCTTCTCTCATGTCCCCACATGGGAAGCCGGTGCCGACAGACAGGAGCTCACCCCACACCCTGGATTTAAACCACTGGCCTTTTGGTCAGCAGTTCTACTGGCACAAGGTTTTAACCCGCTGTGCCACTGGGGACTCCTTTGGTATCTACTGGGGTTTCAAGCTCCTCCATAGAAACCAAAATCCATGGATGCTCACGTCTTGTGTAGTAAGATGGGGTCACTCATCTAAAAATGGCAAAATCAAGGTTTGCTATTGGAATGAATGAAATGTATGTATATATGTATGTATGTGTGTGTGTGTGTGTGGAGAGTGTGTGTGTGTGTGTGTAAAGCCATGCATAGAGGATCCATAGGTATGGACTTTGTATTCCTTATCCTTTGACACAATCCATAGCCACACTGAAGCCAATGCAGATTAGAAGAGACGTCAAGCCATAAGCACTCTGGACAAAAAAGGACTCAACTACAGTATGTAACAAAATTTGAAGAAAAATATGTTCCTGTTTTGAAAGTCTTGTTTTCTATTCAACGGCATGGTCCTTTAAAAGTAGTTGTTATACTCCAGAAACTTTGTTTTTGTGTCTGCCACAAACTATGTTGAATTGGTTGAGACTCAATGAGAGATTCATTGAAAAACTAGAGCAAAATATGTTGCAGGGTGTCCCTCAATAACCAAGTTTGTGCAGTTTAACAAACTTTTCCTATGTTTTTATGAGAGACCCAATTAGGAAATGACATTTATAACCCAGGGACAAAAATTGTGTCACATAGCGCTACCCTTTTCAAGGGCTCCATCCCTTAAAACCAGATTGCCACCCTGAATCCAATACAAAAATTCATGGCCCTGGAGCCATCCTGTAATTCAGGAATAGACAATGAAACCATTCCTGACAGATAGTCATTCAGCCTATCTAGATTGTAGAATCAGAATAATAGAATCATAGAGTTGGAAGAGACCTCATGGGCCATCCGGTCCAACCTCATTCTGCCAAGAAGCAGGAATATTGCATTCAAAGCACCCCCGACAGATGACCATCCAGCCTCTGTTTAAAAGCTTCTAAAGAAGGAGCCTCTATCACACTCCAGGGCAGAGAGTTCCACTATTGAACAGCTCTCACAGGAAGTTCTTCCTCATGTTCAGGTGGAATCTCCTTTCTTGTAGTTTGAAGCCATTGTTCCACATCCTAGTCCCCAGGGAAGCAGAAAACAAGTTCGCTCCCTCATCCCTATAACTTCCTCTCACTTATTTATACATGGTCCTCATCATGCCTCCTCTCAGCCTTCTCTTCTTCAGGCTAAACATGCCCAGCTCTTTAAGCCGCTCCTCATAGGGCTTGCTCTCCAGACCCTTGATCATTTTAGTCACCTTCCTTTGGACACATCTCAGTTTGTCCAAAGGATTAACCCAGAATTAACCCAGTTTGACCCCACTTTAAGTGCCATGGCTCAATGATATCCAATCCTGCGAGATGTAGGTCTTGAGCCTCCTCTGCCATCGACTCCTTGGTGCTTCAAAACGCCCCAAAGCCAGGATCCCATAGCACTGAGCGAGGGGAGTTAAAGCGGGATCAAACTGCGTTCATCCTACCGTCTAGATGCCCCCCAAGAGAGCCCAGGCTCTTACCTGCAGCTCGTGCAGCCTGGAGAGGCCCTTCTTGCAGAAGAGGTCGGCGAAGAAGCCCAGCGTGCTGGGTCCCGGCATCTCCTCCAGGGTCTTGTGGGTCTTGAGCACCCGGGCTTGGGACTTGAGCAGCGACTCCGGCCACATCTCGGGGAAGTACCTGGCGAGCAAAGAGGCCCGGCTGGCGAGTTTGAGCGTCTGCGGCATCGCGGATCTTTGGGAGATTTACTCCGGATTAAAAGAAGCCACAAGTTCTGTTCGCTGAGCATCTTCGGCCGCCTTTTATTTCTCCCGGGAACTCAGCGAGGGGGCGTGGCCTCGGTGGGAATCCCCGCCTCTACAAGTACGTCAGCGCTCATGCAAATTTCCCGAGCGAAATTGTCCAATCAGAACGCGGGGCGCTGGTTGGTTAGGTGTGAGCGGAGGCGCGTGCGATTTCATGTGCTTCAGTGTGCTGGTGGTGCATCTAGACTACACAATTAAGATAGTTTAGAGATACTGCTCAATGCGATGCAGTCCTGGATGCTGTCGTTTCGCAAAATCTTCTCTGCCGAAGAGAGCTGGGTCCCTTCCACACAGCCCTATATCCCATAATAACAAGCCAGAAATTCCCACATTATCTGCTTTGAACTGGGTTATCTGCCATATCCCAGGACCCTTCCACACAGCCCTATATCCMAGAATATCAAGGCAGAAAATCCCACATTCTTTGTGGATTCKGATAACCCAGTTCAAAGCAGATATTGTGGAATTATTTGCCTTGATATTCTGGGATATAGGGCTGTGTGGAAGGGTCCTGGGATATGTGGCAGTGTGGACTCAGATAACCCACTTCAAAGCAGATATTGTGAGACTTTTTTGCCCTGATATTATGGGATATAGGGCTATGTGGAAGGATCCTGAGATATATGGYAGTATGGACTCKGATAACCCATTCAAAGCAGATATTGTGGGATTTTCTGCCTTGATATTCTGGGATATAGGGCTGTGTGGAAGGGTCCTGGGATATATGGCAGTGTGGACTCAGATAACCCACTTCAAAGCAGATATTGTGGGATTTCTGACCTGATATTCTGAGATATAGGGCTGTGTGGGCCCTTCCACACAGCCCCATATCCCATAATATCAAGGCAGAAAATCTCTTGTGTTTTACCAAATTGCAGATCTCAGGATTTCATAACATTGAGTACAGGCCGCCATAGTGGTGTCAAACTGTGTTAATTCTGCAGTGTAGATGCACCTTAGCTGTTCAGATTTGGTCCAGTTTCAAGGGATAATGGCACACACCAACCTATAAACTGTAAAGGTAAAAAGGTAAAGGTTGTCCCCTGACATTAAGTCCAGTCGTGTCCAACTCTGGGGGTTGATGCTCATCTCCATTTCTAAGCCAAGGTCATGTGGCCGGCATAACTACATGGCGACTGTTACCTTCCCACCAGAGCGGTACAAATTGATCTACACACATTTGCATGTTTTCGAACTGCTAGGATGGCAGAAGCTGGGGCTGAAGGTGGAAGCTCACACTATTCCCCAGATTTGAACCTGCAACCTTTCAGTCAACAAGCTCAGCAGCTCAGCAGTTTAACCCGCTACACCACTGTGCGTTGAAAAAAATATGGAAAATCCCTACTTTTTAATAAAGAAAGATCCCACTCTTTAATGTAGGGATTCCCATAATATACAGAGTCATTAACAGCAAATAACAAGTCAGGTGATTATTTCAAACTTAAGGAAATTAGCCTTCAAATTTTCTTAACCCTCTGAGCCCCTGGTTGTGCAGCAGGTTACACCACTGAGCTGCTGAACTTGCTGACCGAAAGGTTGGCCATTTGAATCCAAGGAGTGGGGTGAGTTCCTGCTGTTAGCCCTAGCTTCTGCCAACCTAGCAGTTTGAAAACATGCAAATGTGTGTAAATCAATAGGTACCACTTCTGTGGGAAGGTAACAGCACTCCATGGAGTCATGCTGGCCACATGATCTTGGAGGCATCTACAGACAACGCTGGCTCTTTGGCATAGAAATGGAGATGAGCACCAACCCCCAGAGTTGGACACAACTAGACTTAATGTCAGGAGAAACCTTTACATTTTTTTGGAGGAAATTATATTGGAGAATAAATGACATAATTATGGTTTAATGAGAGTTACAGTTCAGGAAAATATCCCGAAACAGGAATCAACATTAATTGTAACACGCAAAAGGAAGTTTCTGATTGTAAAATTGTTTAAAAATCTTTGAATAATTCTGTAGACTCTAGCAATGAGTTATAACTACCTATAATAGTGGTGTAATCATCATTATCATTATGATTAACGTATTTCTATAATATTGCTCCATTATAGAAAGATCCTAGGGCGGCTTACAATCAACATTAATATAAGCGGTTTCAAACAAATCAAACCAATAATATAATCTACATAAACTAAAAACATATAATAACATGATTAATGAGTTAAAACAGATGTTACAGATCAAAACACTTTAAAGAATCTTTGCATTAGCATTCTGAGATAAATCAATGTATTGTAATCACATTTAGATGCACACAGACAGAGCTATATACAATTACACTTTGTAACATGGTTTTTGTTCCTGTATTATAAATGCCATTTCCTAATTGGTTCTATCATAAAAAAAAAACATAGAAAAGTTTATTAAACTTTCAAATTTTGCACACTCAAAGTGCATCTACACTTTCAAACCAGGAACAGAAAATCTTTCAAATTTTGCACACTCAGAGTGCCTCTACACTGTAGAATTAATGCTGTTTGACACCACTTTACCTGCAATGGCTCAATACTGTGCAACCATGGGAGGTGTAACTTTACAATATCTTTAGTCTTATCTTCAATAAACTACAATTCCCATTATTCCATAGCATCGAACCATCGCAGTTAAAGTGGTGTCAAACTGAATTAATTCTACAGTATAGATGCACCCATAGATAGATAGATAGAGAGATAGATAGATAGATAGATAGATCAATGATAGATAGATCAATTGATGAATAGATGATAGAGATAAATATGTGTGTGTATGCGTGTGTAAATATGTGAATTATAGATATAGACATAAATTATAGACTCTTCGAGATTCCCGTGTCATTCAGGGAGATAATTGTACAGCATCAAAGTGCACAGAGCTTGACAAAAGAAGTTGTACAAAAAGAAATGACCAGAGGAGGGCAACAAAGTTAATGTCGCAAGTGGAGAAAATCTGAATGGAATTGGTTGTGTTTAGCTCACAGAAGAAATACAGTAATTCCACAGTAGAAGAAGGGCTGTCGCACCGAGGTAGACTGCAATTAAATTGAGATCTAATGGTAACAATGAAATTTAGATCTTTGGGCAATTTTCAATAAGTTGAAAAGTGTTTCTGGCTCCAATAACAACAGCAACCAAGAGGAAGGGATTGAAAAGAAAAGGAACCTGTCATGGCTAGTAGCAGATATTTGTGTGGACTGTCTTCAGTTGTTGGTATTCACAACAACTTTCTGGTCATTCAAATGTCATGTTTTATTAGATTCTGGTCTCTAAGGCTATATCAACACTGTTGAAAAAATATACTGTATATACTTGAGTACTGTATAAGCCTAGTTTTTCAGCCTTTTCTTAGACAGAAAATGTCCCCCTCGGCTTATTCTCGAATCAAGGTTATTTGTTATTTTACTCTGTTATTCTTATTATTTTATTACATTTATTATTTTACTCTATTTATTATTCTTATTATTACATTTATCATTTTATTATTATTATTACATTTATTATTTTACTTTATTATTTTGATTTTTATTATTTACTCTATTATTACTGTTTTTACATTTCCATTATTTTACTCTACTATTATTATTATTATTATTACATTTATTATTTTACTTTATTATTCTTATTTTCATTTATTATTTTACTCTATTATTACTGTTTTTACATTTCCATTATTTTACTCTATTATTATTATTATTATTATTATTACATTTATTATTTTATTCTATTTATTATTATTGGAAGGATACATAAGCACATGTACATTGAAGAAGGTTAGAATAATGGTTTAATCAGAGTTGGACAGTCTTATCTTAAATGACAGTTTTATGTACCGTAAATATTCAAAAATATTTAACCTACTGATGCATCAATTAATATAACCGTCTTGGTATCTATTGTTATTTAGAAATTTACCAGTAGCTGCTGCATTTCCCACCCTTGGCTTATACTTGAGTCAATCTGTTTTCCCAGTTTTTGTGGTAAAATTAGGTGCCTCAGCTTATATTCGGGCCAGCTTATACTCGAGTATATATGATAGTTTGATGCTACTTCAACTGTCATGGCAAAATGGGAATGGAATACTGGGATGTGTAGTTTGATAAGGCACCAGCGCTCTTTGGTAGAGAAGACAAATGGCCTTGAAACACTAGAGTTCTGAAGATTCCAAAGCATCCAGCTGTGCCAATTCAAATGGTGTCAAACTGCAATAATTCCACGGTGTAGATGCACTTAGAAACAAACCCAAGAGATTCTGTAAGGCTCCTTCTACAAAGCTGTATAAAACCCACATTGAACTGGATTATATGGCAGTGTGGACTCAGATAATTCAGTTCAAAACAGATATTGTGGATTATCGGCCTTGATATTCTGGGTTATAGGGCTATGTAAGGACACTAGTCTGCTTATCCTGAAAATAATAAAATTTTAAATTATGTTTATTTATTTCTTATTGTAAATTTGTTTATGTAGGTTATTGTTTTACATATGCATATTGTTTTGTATGGTCTTTTATATAGTGTTGTAAGCCGCTTTGGGTCCCGTTTAGGAAGAAAAGCGGGATATAAATAAATAAACCAAATACATTTGGTCCGGCCCTAGTTTTAAATGTGTCATGATGTATTGTTTTGATGTTTTACTGTTATTGCTTTAATGTTTATTGGTTTGCTGTATGAGTTTTATTGTTGTATTTGTTATGCTCATGTTTTATTGAGGGCCTTGGCCTTTGTAAGCCTCACCGAGGCCTTCGGGAGATGTTAGCGGGGTACGAATAAAGTTAATAATAATAATAATAATAATAATACTTTAACTACAGAATGAATGCAGTTTGACACCACTTTCACTGCCATGGCCCATGGGAGTTACAATTTTAGAAGGCCTTAAGCCTTCTCTACCAAAGAATGCAGGTGCCTCACCAAACTACAAATCCCAGGATTCCACAACATCAAGCTATGTGAGTTAAAGTGGTGTCATTCATTCTACAGTATGGGTGCACTCAGGGAGAG